TGTGAAATCCTATGGGGTGTTATCCTTCAAAGAACCAACAAGCTCTTCGGATGCCCATTTCCACAGACAGCTTTCAAAACCCATGCAAGGCAGTCATTAGGTTTTTGAAAAATTAAAGTAAATAAACATCTGAACCTTCGCAGTAAAATAGATACAAGTACACACACAGCTGTTTGCCTTCTCCACTGTTATGGTCAAATAAGACTGCTTGCTTCAGGTTTAATGAGAAACCAAATGACATGGCTTTCCAATCCCCACACCTCTAAAAGTATCTGCAGAGCCCCAGTGACACGTAGTGTTTATTACAAGCTACACAGAGGGGCTCAGGGAAGAAGCATCACACTTCCTGACTAAAACACTGATCTCTAAGACAAGGTGCTTTATTATCCAAGTTAGCACTACTAAAAGTATTTCCAGTTTATAAAATGCCCAATGCATACACCTGAATTACTATTTTTTCCCCCACATACTTTCTTGCTTGCTAGTTTTGCTTCTCACGTCCTTTAACCTGCCCAAGTTAAACAGTGACCAGCACAAAATCTCTTCTGCTGAAGTGGGTGCATGTCTTGCCACTGTGGTGGGAGAAAACTCCCTAAAGTTCGTTATCTAGCTGCAATAGGGACCAGACAACGCGGGTAAAGAACTGACAGTCATTTATTTGCTCGAGCAAAGACCATAAAGCCAGCAAAAGGCAAAATGGTCCCCCTCAAGGCAAGACTACAGGGTTAACAAAAGCAATACTTGGGCGGTGCTTTACAAATCTTTGTAACAGCATATTTCTATTAAGCTGAACTAGCACTTTTTAAAAGCTAAAAGTTAAGTAACAGTAACATTATGATAAGTTAGCAAAACCTTGCACAGTAGTAGATACTTCTTAAGGACACGATCACTGTACTTAGAACAATGGCTTCTTTGTCTTATCTTGCTTCTTGCTGTAGCTGGTTTTCCAGCACACAGACACAGATCCACTTGCTGCATTTTACTCAGAAAATGCTTAACACAGTTAAAATGATTACTTGACACACGCAAAGGCTTAGCTATCATTCTGCCTTGTGGTCAGCGGCATTGCTAAGCCACAGGTCATGCCTTGTATTCAGCTGCAAAGCTAATACTTCTTAATAATCCAAATTATTGTTAACCTAACAGTATGCTATCAGAAAACTATTCTATTTCAGGGTAATAACAAACATGCTCACTACACCACACTAAGTCAACAATTTTCTACCAGGGTCCTGTGGCACCATGGGTGCCAGTGTTAATGCTGTTAGATGTACAAACATGATTGCTATGATAAACCCAGAGAGTTCAAAGAGACATCTGTAACATTAAAAACATTCAGCCCTACTGTGCTCAGAGCTCCTTGCAACAGAAGAGTTGCTCTATTAATTTTCCTGTAATTAAAAAACAAGTGAAAACTAAGAGGAGGTCATTTCTGAGGGGTGTCTTGAGTCTATCTTGCAGTGCCTCAAGTTTAAAAGGGTTGAGAACCACTATTTGAAGCTGAGAGTAGCTGTTAAATGCAGTCAGCTGCATATAAAGGACTGACACCCCTCTTTTAACCAAGCAGCAGTTGCAGGCAGGCCCAAACTGTTTCATGCTGCTCTCTCCCCCCTCTAACACAGCGCTCACGGTTCCACACAGCCCTGTTCCCATTAGGGCTTGTTTCCCCACCACTTCCCTGCACATTCTTCTCTAGTGCGCACAGCGCTGCAACTTACCCTTTTCTGAACACATTGCCAGGCCAGACTGACGTGCAAGCTAGTTCCCCGAGCAGAGCTCTGAAGAGGCAAACACCACGTTCCTGAGGCTGAATCCTCTTCACAATCTTCACAAAAGCGCTTTAAGGAGCTACTCTTTAACTTGCACTTTCATTCTGACTGGTAGGGAAGCTACTTTGTGCTAAAATTGTTTTCTGAGCTCGCTAGGAGGAGCAGCTGCTCGCTCTTAGCTGGCAAGAAAGACCTTCGTTTTCACTTACAGTAAATACCCTGATACAGTGTGTTTTTTATAGGTACTGTATTTTTCAGCACAGCACATATGAATTTACTTGCACAACGAAACACAACAAGGACAATTGCAAAGTCTAGCACTTCAGATATAACAATTTGATACCCAAATACAGATTGGAAAATGACTGACTAGGCTACTGTACTAAGGAGAAGGACCTGGGGATTCAATGGATCCTAAATGGAATACGAGGCAACAGCGTGCTCTTGTTTCAAAAACACCAACACCTTCGTGGTTTGTTTTTAAAAGAGTTTCTCTTTCAAAGCAAGGGACGCAATTCTTCCGCTCTGGCATTGGTGAGGCCTCACCTAGATTACAGTGTCTGGTTTTGGCTCCTGAGTTTCAAGATGGACGTGGTCAGATCTTAGAAAGAGCCTAGCAGAGAGCCACAAAAGTGATTAGAGCAGTGTTGGGCAAAATAGTGGATCCAGCCAGAGGCCAGACTCCATTTTCTAGCAGCTCCTTCCTGCGTGGCTGGGGCCAGGGTCCATGGAGACCCCAGTAGCAGCTGCACCGTGATAGCGCAAGGCTGGGGTTTCCATGGAGACCGGCCCCACCAGCACTGGCAGACAAGCTGAGATCTTGCCCTGGTGACAGCATGGTCCAGAGCCAGGGCAGAGCCGTGATCTGCAGCCTGCACACTCCGGGCAGGATTGTGTAGTCAGTGCACTGTGGCTCTGCCCTGGCTCCTTGCAGCAGTGACAGCATGGTCTGGAGCCAGGGCAGAGCCATGATGCACAGCCTGCATGTGCCTGCCTGGGGTATGCAGGCTGCAGATCATGGCTTTTCTCTGGCTCTGGACCACGCTGTCACTGCCACAAGATCCCAGCCCAGCTACGGATCAGGTCCCTGCCCTGCCATGCACCCTGCCAGCAGGGGTGGCACTAGGGGAGAGGTTGGGGGAGCTATAGCCACCCCAAAATTCCCTGTAGCCCCACACAGCCACCCCTCGGCTGCTGCTGCTACCTGCCCTGCAGAGGCAGCCTGCCCGGCTCCTGCCTGCAGCACAGCTCCCCATCAGCCGCCTCACCAGGAAGAGGCTGGTGCTGCTGCTGCCTGCCAGGGCTGCTGGGGCCAGTCTCCACAGAAACCCTGGCCCTGTGCTATCACAGGGCAGGTGCTGCTGGGGTCTGTATGGAAACTGGCCTCAGCCACACGGGCAGGGGCTGCTGAGAAATGGAAGCCATGACTTCTGAGGCAAGGCTGAAAGAGCATGGGTTATTTAAACAATCCCCTTGAGATGAGCAGAATGCTTCACTGATACGGCGATCATTCTGCCTTTAAGATACAGAAAGGGGTAACTCATCCCATGCTTGTGGACAATGAAGTTTGAGAAGAATTTTTCATTTCTCAGCCTCAGCTTTCTGCCCCACATATTCCTCATACCTGCACACTGCTTAATCCAGGGGCTAGACTCACACCTGTCACTTCCAGTTACACACCTTCAGTCACATTGTATTTCCCTTCTGCTTCTCTAATTCCCACTACAAGAAGCCACTCTTCCATGGGCTGCCTGCCTCTTCTTTCTTGGAAGTAGTTCTTTTCTATTCTTTGCTCTCTTGTACAACAGCCTGCTGCTGTGAAAAACTAAGACATTTGGATAAGATTTATGTTGTTATGAGAGACATCCAAGAAGCTAAAACCAAACTAAAACTCACTTTACTCCTCATTTCTACAAAACTTCATACTTGGACTTGGTACAACCACATCAAATGAAAAAAAAAAAAAAGGATCACGCTCATCACAGCCGAAATGGTTTGTATGATACTTAATTCACATTTCTACACCATACACTGGCTGTGGAAGCAGAAATGAAGACAATAGTTTGAGAAAGTATAAATTTAGAAAGGAGCAGAACAAACCTTGTCCACACCCCAGTCAACAACTCAGGCATACCATTTCCTGAAAAGGGTATCACTGTCACTCAGCGAAAGTGAAAGCATAAAGAAGGCTGGTGCTGCTGGAGTGAGGAGAGAAACCAGCTCAGTCAGTAGCAACCGAGCTGCAAGGATGACAGTGTTCCAGGTGCTTGTGCAGGGCATAGAGGGCCATGTAAAACCAATAGACGTGGCGAATTCAGAGGAGGAATTCAACAGCATGAGCATCGACACGTTCATGATGATGGTTGCCACCAAACTCCTGAAGAACCCAGGTAATGAGCAACAAAGAAAGCAATCCTGCCTCCTGCTTTAAAGTTGAGCAGTTTTTGTGTGAAACACTTTAAATACTTTGGTGGGGTCAGTTTGCATTCATTGCGTCAGCCTCTTGGTTCATTTTTGTTTGTTTCTTTTAAATTAGGCATGCTTATTCAATTTGGAGACTATGCAGGCAGCTAGAAATATTTTTCTTGTTTGTTTAGTTATTGGAGGCTGGACAGATATTTGGCTGGGGTGATATGATTCCGGCACCCATTCCTGTCCAGGGCAGGGGCTCGGACCTGATGATCTGTTAGGTCCCTTTCGACCTAAGCGCTATGATGCTATGAAATATTCATAATTCAGCATGCTAAATACAGAATAGCAGAAAAGCAATTATTCAGATACATGTTGTGCTAACTTTCTTTGTTTCCTCATCAGGAATCAGTAATTTTACATTAGTGTATGCCAACTTACAACTGAAAAGAGGGAAGAAATTCTCAGATTATTGCATCAGAAACAAATGCACCATGGTCATGATCACCCAGCTGCCTGGAGGAAGATAAAATGTTCGACAGCATGTCAGGAACATACTGATTCATATCTACAGAATGACATGCACGTGAAACTGGGCTCCCAGGGACTTCTGGACAGGCAGAGTTTATCTAAAAAGAAACCAGATTTGACTCTGATCATGAATGTCTGAGTAAATCAGCTGTTCGGATGATTTGTCTCCAGGGCTCTAAAATGTTGCTCTCTACTTCAGCTAAAATTTGTGGAGGCTGCCTCAGTGTCAGACAGCGTCAGTGATGACTGTTTCTGTTTAGTTTTATATTGCACTGCCATGCTACATAGCAGCCAACACATTAGCTCCCACTGTGCTAAGAATTGTAACTGTGCTCCAAGAGGACAATTGTATGGGTTGTACTTTCTCTCGAATACAAAATACTTCCTGGGACCACAGGAGTTTAGATATGAGGGCTGCCTATAGCTTGTTGATCTCTGTAGCTTCAAAGGCTCCTTTCTTGGTAATTTTGTTTTACTCCACTTTTATCCCAAAGATTGTTCTTTGAAAATAAATGTTAAAAAAAATGTATACCATCATGTAATTCTCTTTGCTGGATTTCCTTGGTCAGTTGCAGTGATGCAGAGACAGCTGGGCTAGAAAGCATCTCTGGGTGTAGTTATCAAACATACTGACTCAGTCTCAGCAAAAGAACCAGGAGATGAGACAGTTATGTAGATATCAGTTTATAAAAGCAACAAGCAAGAGAAATCAAAATGCAGTGCAGAAGAACAGACCACTTCACCAGTGAGTTATATAGAGGAAGTGAACACAATCTCCAGAAGCAGGTGAGAAGAGGGCCAGATCCTACACACATTATCCCCTCCTACATGCCATAGGAAGAACAGAGTAGCAGAGTGGTTAACATGTCATGCAACAGCTCCAGAGGCATGAGTTTGTGGAATCAAAAAAAATATATGCCTTAAACTTTGACTATTTTAGTTATAAGATGACATAACCGCTTTGTGGAGAATTGCTGGCTCTGTATAGTAGAACAGATAAGAGAAAGTATTTGTTCTTTGTAACTCCTCTGCAACTGCTTCGCTCACCGCGGCCTTGAAGATAGCAAAAAATATATACAACTCTGATTTGCAGGTGCAAGAAGGAGGTTTGTGAACTAACCTCGCCTCCCCCATTAGTTCCCATCCTGATTACAGCAAAGAAATAATAAAGTAACATTATAGCCGCTTTTCATGCTAATTTCACTATATGATCACGTGAGTTGTAAGCAACTGTTAAAAAGTATATAAGCCTCCTGATTTTGCTTTTGGGGGGGACCCCTTCCAAGTGCTTGGGAAATCCATGTCACTTTAAAATCCCCCCTACAGCTGTAGTTTCTTTT